TGTATTATTATTATTTAAACATAGCATGCCACAAATGTTTTTATATGCTGCAGTTTCAGTATAACGGAACACGTCATATTTTTGCAGCACTGACCCATAAATCTGTTTGAATTGTTACTCCAGACAGAGTCTGTCGTACGCAGCTGGTGACTCATCACAACACAGCTTTCACATTGTAAAGGACTGAGCTCTCACTCTGTCGTCAGCATCTTGACGAAGAACGTGTTTGTTTTGGTAAATTGCAGGATCCACCGATGGCAGAAGAGATAGCAGCAGCTCACAGCTCCACACAGCAGCCTGTTTTCAGAGAGAGAGCCAGCTGAATCCACAGGGACGAGACGAGACGAGAGGCTTATTTTAACCCTGGGAGCAATAGTCTATCAGAAGTCATTAAGATCTAAAAGGGGAAGAGGAGGCCTGGAAATGATCAAATGAATGAAAGAAAAAAATCTAAATGCCAACGAGAAAGAAGGGTTCAAAGGATTTTCATTATGAATGATATGAATATGAACACCAAATGTCGGCTCTAATTTGTAAGACAGGAACAAACAGAGGTAACTTAAATGCACTTACCCTAACAAAGCAAACAGTAGAATCTCCAGTGGGTAGAAAGGTAAAGCAGTGGGGAAATTAGTTTTAAACAGCGCCTGAAGAGTCTCTGTGGACAAAGACCAAATTGGAGTTATCCCTCTTCTTTCTCTCATAGCTTTTCAAAAATTCAATCTTCCCTCACTTTATTGTATTATATTGAAATATACAATCTAAATGATTCTGCAAATGTTGTTCACGGTTATTGTCGTGACAGGGGATTATGCAGCTGTCAACATTATCCACAAGCTAAAATGACTGAAATTGAATGATTCAAATTAACTAAAATTACATTAACAAAAAGAATTGTGGGCTATCAGTCTAGCTTGTATTGGGACTCTCCAGGAAAAACTCAAACCAAACTCAATTTAAAAATTTAGCATTTTAATATGACCATTCTTTTTGGCAAGCATACATTCAGAAAAATATGCTATATAGGATATTTTAGGGCTGTCTGTTGATTTCAGCATATGCACTAAATTGGCCAAAAGTAAGAGGACATTGGAACTCTACATGAATAACAGATCCAAATCTTCAGCAAGGCTTCTAAAACAGGGCATTTGCTGCCACACAAAAGTCAAAATGTCTTTGTCGACATGTTTTTGCTCACTTTGTTGCCACAAAGTGGAAGCACCCTACTCTGTAATAACACAAACTCAAATAGAAGGTTTCCCATACTCAGAACCATGTGACCTAACCTGAACCATGAAAAACTGCCTCAGAACAAAAGCACACAAAAGGTAGTGTCCATTTACTTTTTGACCATGTAGCTGCCTTTGCGTGAACAGAAACCTCTTCATTCTCAGATGTTGGATCATGTTATTGGCTTTGTGGCCACTTTTCCTCAGATCATTGTGACACAGATTCTAAATTGAACCTTATCCTTGTCAAGGGCGAGTGGTGATCAGGGCCTCCATTACCTCCATCTCCATTCCACACCGTGAAGAGACGAGAGGTCAACGCCCCGCAGGCAGCTGAGAAGAAACACGGGACGTAATGCCTCAGGGCAAAGTGAGAACTCATCACCTCCACGCTGAACAACACACCTACAAGAGCAGAGGTCAGGGAGAGACAAAGGTACAACAGAAAAATATGGAGAAGAGGGTGTTTACGTTGCCTTGGACGAAACAGCAGCATGTATTGACAAGTTTAAAGAGCATTGATGAATAATTTTTCTGCCTATATATGTAGAAAAAAAAGTCCTCTGAAAATCCAATACAGAAATATTCATATAATTCAGGTGTTAATGGACAGATTCATATTTTGTGGACATCATTACATTTGAAAATGACATATGAATTAATTCAGGCTGAGTACAAATGGAATTTGAACCTAAGGTGCTGAACAGCCAGCAAGGTTGCAAAAATGAAATTACCTGTGATGTGTGAAATCAAAGACGGAAGAAGTGAGAGAAAAGGATGATGGGGGAGAAGCAGTGTGGGGGGAGATAAAATGGACAAGTATGAGAAGGAAGAAGGTGGATGAATTAACCAGACACATGTGAAAAGGACAGATATAGTGCGAGTAAATACTTAAACAGCATTGATTTCTAATGCTGAACCTTCTCACCACTGATGGGAGCTCCAAAGCAGCTGGCTACTCCGACCGCAGCAGCAACAACCAACATTTCTCCAGCTGGTTTGTCCTAAAACAGAAGAGTCTATAATATAAACATCTTTTGTGTATTTTTTTACCTATTAGAGAAATACAATAACATAGAATGTGATTTTTTAAACATTACTTCATATTTTTGGTAGAACATTCCCAGTTTGTCCAATTCTGTGGTCCTGATAGTGACCCTTGGTGTTAATATTACTTGGGACAGTATCTCCAGATGATTTACTTTTGGGCTGATTGTAGGTGGTGTGACTTACCTGCAGGGAATCGAACAAACACAGATAAGTATCTTGTTAATGCTTAATCCTCCCTGCCTGTCAGCCGGTAAGATCTTAATGGATGTTTTAACTGCCACTGACAAAGGTAGGATTTCTCCCAATGCTGCCTATTGTCAGCCTGACTGTGACGGACGAATGTGTTTGGGTGGGAGGGAGACTGCACTCCTGCAACTCAGTTTCAACTTTTATCTTAGTTAGCAGCATTAAGGATATTCAACTGCACACACAAATGATCTTACTCCACGCACTCAACCCTCTCTCTCATAGCAGATAGGTGATAATTAGAGGAGATGGCAAAATGAACAGGTTGTTTAAGGGGGGAGATTTTTCCCTTCATCCCCTTACAAATCATGTACTGCCTAAGGGAAATACCTGGCTAGCATTTAGTTATCCTTTAAAAGCTCTAACAACTAGGCCCTGACTTTGTCTGCCATGCTAGTCAGGTAGTGTACAGTAAGTTTATCACTACTGCTTGAAAAGAGGTGAAGAGAGGTGGTTTTTAAGGCTAAAAAAACAAAAAAATATTTTGTTCTTTATAGGTTTGTGACTATGAGCAAGCTTTTTGTTTATTCAGAAGTAAAGGCTGTAATTTTACAAAAGCAAGTGGTAAAGCCTTTATCATATTGGAATTACTTGTGATTTTACCTTCTTATTGTCTTGTATGAGAGTGCAGAGTTTGCTGAGGTAGGCTCCCACCATGGTGGAAAGATGCACAAGCGGACCCTGATGATAAGAGACCACACAACGTTCATAACTCATAATGAAGCTAACACACAATTTTAAAGATAGCTACATATTTTGTATGGTAGACAGGTACACTGGGACATCTCTCACCACTTTGCCCAGGAAAACCGTGCTGCCTGCTGCCAGTGTACAGATAAGGCCCAGGAACTTGGCAAACATATTAGTGAGAGATAAGTAATGAGGCATTTCAATGCCGGCCAGCATGGTTCGTATCTCTGGTATCCCCGAGCCTGGAGAGAAATAAACAACAGAACACGATTCTGGAAAAGCTCATAGTTTCTAAAGCAATCAAAAACTTCTATTAAAGCTATTCAAAGTGAATACAGGGTAATAGTTTCAGAATAATTCAATAGAGGTTTAAGGAATGGAATGGAAAGACCTTCTGTGGAATGTAAAGGACAATCAGCATAAAACAATAATGAAGCATGAGTCTGTTTTAGATCGGTAATGTTGTGCTGACATAACTACACACCATGTCATCAGGTTTGGTTTGAGAATCTGGTCACACAAATCAGGCACATTTTAAATTCCTCTGAAATTGTCCTGACAGTGAGAGGCAGTGTTACCAGTCTACAGAGTGGCAGTGGCAAGTACAGATACAAGCTACAAACATGGACCCAAAGCTTTCTGAGGCAGATGAAGTAATGTCCGGTGATAGTCAGGGGCAGACGGGGGTGAGTCATGGGGGAGACAGGGTGAGGGCCTGTGAGAAAAGTAGAACTGTGTTCCCTGACGTATCACAATCAGCCTGAGGTGGACTGATCATTGGACCAGACCTGCCACTGGACTGGACACATAACAGCCTAAGTCTGAATTTCTGGCATCCTCTGGCCTTAACAATGCCCATGTCTCTGACAATATCAGTAACATTTCTTAGTAACTTCATCCATCTATTAGCTTCATTAACTTTAAATCCTCAGACCTTACATGTCTTTTGCAGTGTTTCAGTGCCTTATATTGAATTTTCTAAGTTTATTTTTAAACATTTTTTTAGGAATAGTCGAGGATTATGGTGAATTGTTAAATGTAAAAATGAATTTGAATAACATTAAAAGCACTGAGCAGCATTTCCTCAGAAAATGAAGGGTTACCAGGAGATCATCTAATATTCAGCAATTATAAGAGTAAATAAATCTAAGAAAGAAGTCTTGTGTCAAAGCCTAGAAGCTCTGTGCTCACAATAATTTAAATCAGAAACTATGTCTTAATTAGGACATGGAACGATTTTGTAGAAAAGAGTTTGAAGTTGTACCTTTGAGGGATCAAGATGGACTTTTATCCTGAAATATTATTCATCGGAAAATTAGAGAACAGATAAAAAGAGAACTCTTTCGGAAATTAGGAAACATCTATGAAAGTAGATCCAGCTAACAACCATATGGGAGTCCATGAAGACTTCTGACACTATACTGTTAATGTCTGTGGTGTCTCACCTCAAGTGTCCTGGATGTAAAGCTGATAATATGGGCAAAACCGAGGACTGCTTGATCTCCGGATTATGTTGGTGAACACAATCAGCTGTGGATAATATATAATAGCAGTAAAATAACTGTAATCAGAGTAAATGTTCTGACACACTGCAGCTTAAAGGAGCTTTTACTGTCAGCAGACATAAACCTTCCTTGAAAAGAGGTTTACAAGCCTCCAGAAATTCATGTTGATGCTCAGAAACGCTGCAATCAGCTGGATCATCTGGTATTTATTAGCGTCTGTTTGCTTGGCACCTCTGCCTGCTCCTGATGATTTTTATGTAAAAGACCGTCTTGTGATTGGATCACACCAGCTGCAACGCCTGGTACTATGTCGACATTCTGGCACCAGAAGGCCTAATCAGTAGTCAACACTTCATTATAACATGGGAACACAGTACTCATGGGTCAGACCAAAGCAATCATCGGACTCAGCTTTTCATTTTCATTGGTTTGGCATTAAGACACCAAGACACATCTATTCAAATGTGTTTTGCAGAACGAGAGTACTACCACAGGCTATACCGGAGTGACTGTGAAACTAGAGAGAGAGAGAATTAACTCTAGGCCATATGAAACACAGCATTAAATTGACATCATTGATGCATCTGTGATACTACATGTATATTGATTTCTTTCATAGTAACCACATTGTGAGTTCATGCTCGTTACGTTTCTTTTGTCCCAGTCTGTCTTTTACTGCACTGTCAATACATTCAAAGATGTACAATAGAGATTCACTATTACATTCCACTTAAGGCTCTCTGTTAGACAGATAGACAGATAAAATCAAAGCTGACTTTTCATATGCACGTCCCCCTTTAAAACTCAATGAATTTTACAGGAAATATCACACTTGACTTTTACTCAAGGCCTTTTACTATCTAACATGCTTAGATAGGAGTAAAAGGCGTGTGTAAAAGATGCAGAGTAAAATCAAGATACAGTGGAAAGTACTTCAAGGATTTATGTGGTTTCAATTTACAAATCTGTTTTAAAATATAGAGTGATTTTGATAAAGATTTGTAACTCCTGTCTGTATCTCTGTTTGAAGGAATAACCATCATCCTATATTGTCCACACTGAATCCATAACTCAAACATTCAAAGTGTAGTATGGAAAAGAAGCCTGAGGCCCTAAACTGTCAGCACACTGTGGAGCCAATGAATGGAAGTAGATTGGAGGTCTTTGTGTTGTATGGAGTCACTCTACTGTGAGTGATGACAACAGTGATGAAACAAAAGCTGATTTAAATTTTTTTTTGAAAGAACACTGAATTATGTATGACAAACCTGTGGAGAAGGGACAGATGTTGTGGGAGAATGATGATGCGACAGCAGAGAGGCATGCTGGGTAAAGAGTCCAACAGCAGAACTGCAGCAGACTGTTGCCCTCTAGCTTCATATAAAGCCATTGGTGAGCTGCAAGTGAAGTGAGAGAGACATCAATTGTTTCTGCCCTTTGCTCTCTCTCTCTCCCCCTCTCTCTCTCTCTCTCTCTCTCTGTGTGTACCTGTCAGCAGTTTTGTTACACTCAGATCCATGAGAAAGCTGAGAAAGGCCATCATGATGCCGAGAGCAGCGTAGCCGTACCACTCCATCCCACACATTGATCCCAAACAACACCTCAGATTCAGCAGCCACTCTGTGGACACAAAGTTTGTGTTACCATTAGAATTAAAAACAGCTTATTTAGATTTCTAAAGTGGACAGCATATCACAGGGCTAACATTCAGAGACAAACAACAATTCACACTCACCTTCACACCTATATGGTCAATTATGAGTTTTAT